GCAACTGATAGAGCTGCTGCCTCTCAGCGAGAAGGTTGCCAGTTCAAATCCCAGTCTGGGGGCCTTCCTGGGTCGAGTTTGCATGTTCTCTCCGTGCATGTGGGTTTTCTCCAGGTACTCCGGTTTCCTCCCACAGACCAAAAACATGCATGTTAGTCTGATTGGTAAATATAAATTGTCCCTAGGTGTGAGAGAGAGTGAATGGTTGTTTGTCTCGTTTGTCTCTATGTGTCCCTGTGATGGACTGGAGACCTGTCCAAGGTGTACCCCACCCCTCGCACAGTGTTTGCTGGACATGGGCACCGGCGACCCCATGACCCAAAATGGAAGAAGCGGGTAAAAGATAATGGATGGATGGATGGATGTACTGTATGGAATATGTACATATATGTATTTATGTATTTCAGGTCTCTCTTGAAAATCAGTCCTCGAGGCTCAATGTGATTTACCTTTCTAAGTAAAGGTTGAATGAATATATAGTGTGTGTGTGTGTGTGTGTGTGTGTGTTTGTTTGTGTGTGTGTGTGTGTCCGTTATTGTTTGTAATTCAGAAAAAAATAAAATAGCCATGCAAATTGCAATGCATGAATACAATCTAAAAACTGAAACTTTCCTAAATTCATAAACTTCCTTAGGAAAGAAAGGAGAGAAGGAAAGGGATGAAGCAGAATAGGAAGGAAGTTGGTATAATATGAGAGTGCAACATCCTGTAACCCCATAAATCAGATTATTTCCATTCACTCGGGAACTGGAACATATCTCTAAGTGTGTGTGCAGCATTCAGCCGGCCCCATTTTTAAAAGACCTGCCAATCTCATGCAGCTGGAATTCACTTTTAACCGGCACCTGCTACAGAGTCACTGAGTTGTGACTCTGGATGCTGAGATTCTCACTCTTATGTGGGAACTTCTGAACTACAAGGGGAATCCTCTTAGTTTGATCAGTGAACTGTGTAGAAAGAAAGTTGGATTTAAATCCTTTCTTTAAGTAATGACTTCTAACTTTAAATGGGAGGGTAGGATGGTGAAAAGCAACATTATCTGTATTCTGGAACTGGGACCGGTGTTGGAAGCTTACTTGAGTTTCCTGTTCGTCTGTATAGTCCAGTCAAAAATGTGTTGACATCAAAACAAACCTATAAATCCACTCAGTTTAGCACAGATTATAAATAATAATAATAATAAATACAAGTGATATGTGGAGGAAAGTGGAAAAATATTATTTCTACCCTACCTCTCACACATTAGATAAGGGCTATTCAACTGGCAGCCCGCAGACCATTTCCGGCCCGCGGGTGACTTCAATCCAGCCCACTTCATTAAAAAATATATATATATTATTAATTATTTTCTGGATTTGGGTTCTGTTTATTGCATTCATGATCCAATGCAATAAAATAAACAACTTTAAAAGGTAACTGATCATTGTAAATTTTGGTTTAATTACATTATGATTGTAATCGCTGGATGTCCGGCCACCGAGCTGTTGGCTTTTAGAAACGGCGCCCCCCCCGAGCAGTTTTGTTGAATAGCCCCACATTAGATGTTTCTTTTGTGTGATACTGGTTTTGAAAATGAACAAGCCTGAGTGTGATGGCTGCTCATACCTTCTGTGTTCTGGCCTCGGCAGTAGGTAAGCAAAGAAAGGATTGCCATTCCTGTCCCCAGCCATCTGACAAGCCACCACCCCCGTTGCATCTTCTGTCAAGCCTTATTGCCAGCCCACCTGGATGAAAATAAAACACTGTTCATGTTTCAGCAAAATGGTCAAGCATACTCGCATGCACAGCTGTGACCAACACACGTGGACAAACAGCCATATTTCCATTAGCTCAGTATATTTCTGTTAAAAAAAAAAAATCTCCTTGTTCAATTTTTCCTTTGCGCAAGAGTTCATTTGATATGTCGAATAAAGTAAAATCTACTTCTGAAATACTCTGGAAATAACCACTGAATTTGCCAATCTTCCACTGAATAAAAACTCAAAAGATTTGTTTATTTGTGCTTCATTCCACGAGTTGAAAAACATTAAAAACTCATTGTGCTCAATATAGAAAATCAGTTCCTATAATAATCAATTTGTGTTTTCAGTTGAGATGAAACATTTCCTAATTCATATCCTGGGAGGATTCAGAGCAAGAAGCAGTAACATATTTCTTCTGTGCAAGACCAAAAAAACAACCAAAACCTATTTCAATTTATGTTTATTCAAACGGAACTAACTTCCAACAAAAGTTTTCTCAGGGCATTTTGCACTTGACATTTTAAAGAAAATGCACATAGCTGTGAGAAAAAAAAAGAAAAAAAAGAGAAAAGACTGGATAATTAGCCAACTTGACTGTTGTTCATAAGAGCTAATGTAAGAACAATGAGTTTCTACAGAATAAAGAAAGAAGAAGCTGGAAAACAGGGATTAGACGCTAAACTTTCATTTTCCAGTTGACCAAAAATATATAATTTACAGCACCTTTTCCAGTAGCTGATCACAGCCTACGTTCTTGTTCAAATTGCAACTACAACTTCCTCTGAGTAAGTGGAGGCAGAATATTTTAAACATACGAAAAACCATTAAAACAGTGGTTTGATTCAATGAGTGCACAAAGAGATGCACAAAACACTCAGTGTTACAACACTGTCACACAAAATGCATCTCTGATGATATGTTAGCTTCATACATGATAATAGAGCACAGCGACCAACCTAATTAAAGCAAGTGCACCTGTTGAGGCTGAAAAGAGCACAAGAGAATTGAGCCTTGCTGTGCTGCACAATGTAGTTCCACAGACGAGAGCTGCCACTCTGAGCTATGGAAAAAGGCTAATTGATGAGGAACAGAGAGGTTGTATCTGTCTGTGCTTTTTTGATGTCATACCTTCCTTACAAGGGTTGTTTTCATTTTATTTTATTTTTCCTGAGAACTGGCAATAGGCTGTGAAATCAGCTTTCATTGCACATTCTAAAGGGAACGAGAGGCAGATCAAAAGCATCAACGCCTTCATATCAAAGCATGTTTGACAATATCAAATATCTGACTCACACCATTGGTTCTTCTTTATTTGGAGCAGTGATTTCTTTCCAGTTTATTTCAGCCATTTCAACACATAAAGGCTGAAGACTATCTGGAGTGTCACGTCTGAACAGTGTGCACAAAATCATATAATATCTGTACATGACTGCTTTTGCAATGACATATATATTGGATATATACTTAAAAAAGAACTAAAACAAACAGATAAGAACAGGTGTGTCATTCACATGCACTCTAAGTTTAATGATTGTTGCCTATTTTTAGTCCTGCATGGGCTCGTTGTTGAATGTTCATATCTCTTTAAGATGCAGCAATACATTTTATTTGCCATTTGTAATTCAAATTGTTTCAAATATCTAGTCTGTCAATTAGCTAATATATATATATATATATATATATATATATATATATATATATATATAAATCCAGGAATGAATATCAGTCTTTACTTTAATCAGATACGATTCACTTTGTGCTTTAGGGGAAAACTCCCATTTTCTTAAGAAGGCACTTTTGTGTCTCAACCCGTGCTGAAAAACTCTTTTTCCAATAACATCATAATAGCGTTGCCAATTATTTCCAATGGGAATGTGACAAAAGGCTGTAAAACAACTAATATTTCACATGATGACATCATACATTTAGATAGGCTTGCATTTGCAGAACACAGTGACTGCTAGTTGATGTGCTCATCTAAGAAGCTTCATTCTAGTTATTATTTTGGACTTGATGTGCTGTCTGATGACAGAAACAAACAAAAAAAACCATACTTAAACATGGTTTTCTTTACATTTCAGATGTATTACTGGGATATTTTAGGGCAGAAGTGGTAAACGCACAACTGTTAACTAACAATGCAGGTTGACAGAGGAGAAAATGCTGTTTTAATTAGCAGTAATATCATTGATATATTATAAGACAATATTTAGATGATTTTTTTTCACACCGTTTCAAAATTTAGTTTGAAAACAACAAAGTTTAACCCTTTTTTAGCATACCTAAGATCTATGTGGAAATATATTGGACTATTTCAAAGATTCATTGCACCACAGTGTCTAATGTTGCTCTGAATCTTTTCCGACACATACCCCAGCACATTTTGCACCACTCCAACACCTGGCATGAAAACCCTGTGAACAGCAGGAGCCTACTACATTCTCTTCTCTTATACAGCAACAACAAGGGCAATTTCACACTGGTTTCCTATTCACTCACTGCCCTCTCATCTCTTGGGTTCCCAGTGGTGCTCCCTTTTTGAAGCAGATTTGATTCCTCACATTTGTACATCTATCTTTCTTAAGAGGGCCGACTATGATTGCTTTGATCCCTTTCACAAGAGAAAACTCAGACCTCAACAACCAGCCACCCTGAAGAGAGAAGTCATTGCTTCCCGCAGCTCACTGCGAATCTTCTCCCGGTTGACATGGGAACACTATACGCCATTTACATTGGCTAACAACAATGTTCCTGCAGACTTCATGAAAAGCTCAAGGTCGCTGATTGAAAAATGAAATCAAAATGGCTCCGATATTCAGTTTAGAAGTGATTTCATGAATCACATAATGGTTTACCATTTATCTTGCTTGGTAGCAAATGTGGTGATGACGCTCTAAGAACAGTAGTTGAGGTTTGTTAAATTGTTTATATGTTTTTCACATTCACGTTGAGCACTTCTCTAAAGTAAAAACACCCCATATCAAACAAATGTCTAATTTAATTTACCTTTTTGGTGAAGAGGGAAGATATTAAAATAAGGAAAAAAAAATTATGGTTGTTAAAATATTGTCGCAAATGAAGCAATTACATTTCCAGCTTACGAGCTTGAAAAATATCTGAATAAAACTTCTTTTTTCATACCTCAGTTGATATATTCTATAATCAGAACTAACTATCCATCCATCCATTATCTTTACCCGCTTATTCCATTTTGGGTCACGGGGGTCACCGGTGTCCGTGTCCAGCAATCACTGTGCGAGTGGCGGGGTACACCCTGGACGGGTCGCAAGTCCATCACAGGGCCACATAGAGACAAACGAGACAAACAACCATTCACTCTCCCACTCACACCTAGGGACAATTTAGAGTTACCAATTAGCCTAACATGCATGTTTTTGGTCTGTGGGAGGAAACCGGAGTACCCGGAGAAAACCCACGAATGCACGGAGAGAACATGCAAACTCCACCCAGAAAGGCCCCTGGACCGGGGTTTGAACCAAGGACCTGCTCGCTGAGAGGCAGCAGCTCTACCAGTTGTGCCACTGTGATGCCCAGAACTAACTATTTGATCCAAATTGTAGCAACTTAAGTAAAAAGTCAACCACCTAAAGATTAACATTTGGTCTTTTGAATGTAGGTCACATTTAATACCAAACAGATGTCAGTGAAGGTTAGGATGCTCAATATAAAGGTCAAGGTCAAGGTGTCTTTATTGTCATTCACATCACATGTGGTACATGAGGTGGAACAAAACTTTACAAACTATATAACTATATATAAAAATATATAAAATTAATGTTACAACATAAAATGCATCACCTGTTTGAGTCAACTCTATTTGACTGTTAGCACAATATATCAATCTATTGAATGCGTTAATGAAATAACTTAGAAAGTAATCTTTGCTTACATACCCATATTAGATTAACTTTTGAAGTCAGTCCTAGTCAACATGTTCTATTACAGCTATTCAATACTAGCCAAAAGTAAAATGGTTATGACAGTAAATTTTACAGTTAGTGTGCTATCTTGGTCTAAGACTCTGGCATGAAATTCAATTAAATTATTTTTATTTATACAGCACCAAGTCACAATACAAGTCATCTCAGGGCACTGAACAGAAACATTCATATATGCAAAATGTAAGTTAATAACAGTATTTATCTGAAGAGCAGACTGCTTTGCATTTAACTTTATCACAGACTCTCATCTTGAGCAAGCATGAAGGCGACAGTGGAAAGAAAAAACTCCCTCTTGAGGAAGAAACCTCCAGCAGAAGCAGGCTCAGGACAAGCGGCCATCTGCTTCGACTGGCTGGGTTTGAGAGGAACAGATACACAATGGCAGGTCGAGAATCACATGTTAAGATAAAAATAGTATCAAATGAAATCTATTCAATTTGAACAATTATTTTTAAGAAATGAGGTCAATTTGTCCTCCACTAGTCTAAGCCTATAGCAGCATAACAAGTCAACCCTAGCTATAGGATTTATCAAAAAGGAAAGTCTTAATCCCAGTCTTAAAACTGGACAATGTGTCAGCCTCACGGACAGAAACTGGAAGTTGGTTCCACAAAGAGGAGCCTGATAACTGAAATATCTTCCTCCCATTCTGCATTTGGAAACTCTAGGAACCACAAGTAAGCCTGCAGTCTGAGAACGAAGTGATCTGTTAGGAAAATATGGAAGAATAAGATCTGTAATATAAGCTGGAGCCAGGTTGTTGAGGGCTTTGTAGGTTAGAAGTAGAATTTTGAATTTTATTCTGAATTTGACAGGGAACCAGTAGAGAGAAGTTAAAACTGGAGACATATGGTCATGACAGATGTTGAGTGACATTTATTCTTTCTAGTAATGGAAGGCCTTTATTTTTATAATGATTTGGCAAAAAAACTATTTCACAAAATATTTCACTTTGTCTTTATAGCACATTTTGCTTGCTTTATGGATCCATG